CCACGAGCTCGTTGGGCAACGAGCCCGAGCACGAGCCGAGCTCGTAGGGTAACGAGCCGAGCCGGCTCGGCTCGGCCCATTGACATCGCTACCCTAAACTTAATGGCCCACCCCTTCACAAACATGTGATGGAGCTGCCACCACCACCCCACAACCATTCTCCTTGAAAATCTACCAAAAATCTGAGAAACTAAAATAGATACAAAACGAAATCCAAATATTTTTTTTGAAATCCTAAATATCCAGTTTGCTCATTTTCAATCCAATCGAGATTTGAATTTATAATATTTATAATTTAGTAATATGTCTTTTGGCAAAACTAAATGTTCGAAAATCTAGTTTCTTTACGAAACCAAATTGGTGGAAAATCTGGTTTATCAACTCGAATCATCCATGTTAGACAAGAGACAACCAAATCTGAGAGATCGTTTAGCTATTTCTCAATATAAGGAAAAAAAATCGGTGGATTCAGCGCAAGCACCCATCAATGCTCGGTGGTGCAAGATCTGCCAGTAGTGGTTGTTCGTGTTTTTTGTTTATATTTTATAATTAACTAAATTTGAAAAATAACTTACAACATATTAAATGAAGGTTAGACATTTATTTTCGATCAATTGAAATTATTTTTGGATGGAAATCGTTAGAGTTGTATCTAGCCTCTGTTTGATTCCCATTAAATTAAATTACATTGCATTCTATTTTTCTTTCTCTTATTTTCAACCACACAATCTCCCATAAAATAATATTACACGTAAATCGAAAATTTTTCCTTCTTTTTCAACTACTCATTTTTCTAAAAAATACTATTCCCCCCATTTTTATTTTCAGGTAATGGGAATCAAGCAGGGGCCTAGCCTAGGCATTTTTCAAAGAAAAAAAATTAGAGCTATGCTGCCAAATTTTCAAAAAATTAATACACCCAAAGGATGAAAATTTGGGAGCTATACTGCGATATTAGTACTGATTTATTCGTAACAACAAATTATATTATTATTTCACTGTATAATTTACCACGTGATAAGAATTGAACATTTTTTCCTCTATATATAATTACATTTTAATTCACAAAACATTGCACAAGATATTGTAATGATGATATGGCAAATTTTTTTCCTATTTTTCTTTAATTAGTCTGATGGAATTTATCTAAAATTGCCTAATTTCATATTAAAAGAGTAAACATAAAGATTGAATAGTCTCAGGTCGCCTAATTCTTGTATGAAACTCATTTTTTTTCATAAATTCAGTTAAACAAATTTATTTTGTTGAGTTATAAATTACTCAAATAGTCATTGAACTTTGCCAAAAGTTTTCAGGAGATCACTGAACATCAATTCTTCCCCATATAGTGTAACTTCCCGAATTCTCTAAACCGAAGAGTTAAAAACAATCGATCTTTCTTTGGTTTGACCCCTTTAATGCTAACCAAAATATTTTGTAAATCACAAAGTTCTTGATTTTTTTTTAATTGAAACATAAAAAAATTTAATGAGAGGTAGTTATTCATATAAATTTGGGCAATTATGGCAAAATTTGATTTTTTTTGAAAGTGTTGGAGGCAATTCAGCAAGTATGGGTTGAACAACAATGGAAGGAAAATATGTTTGGTCTAGCCAATGTCTACTAAAAATTATGAATATGTATTGCTCAAATATGTTGGACAGAAAACTCGAATTCGACACAACGCAGTTTACTAAAATGGGCATAATAACTTTATCTCTGGATAATATTTTAAGGTAATTCAAATGGCTGCTATTAGAAGACTCATGGATCTTTCAAACGCCACTAATTTCACTCTAAAATGTGCACCGTAGCCCAATTTATACAATTTTCAGTCAGAAAGACAGAATTTGAATTTTAAGTTCAACGATAAATAAACTTCAGGCGTAGTCATTCCAACATTTCCAAATTATGGTTGACATGAAATGTAAATAAAACTGATGAAATAGAAGTTTAAATGTTTCTGAAAGTGCCATCTAGTCATTCATAATAGATTTACATGAATTGAAAATTTTACTAGAAAGTTGGAAACTTTTCAAATCACCGAGCACTTGCCACCATGCCAAATTGTCGTCATGCCTTGAATCAACATGTGAGATTATAGTGGGAGGTGAGTACTACAAGTAATACTCAGTAGGAACCTACTAGAGTAAATGATAAAATATATATATGATTTTAGAATGCAAACTTTGGTCTTTTGTGTCACCGTTAAACTCTTTCTCTTGTTTGAACAACCAAACGGTGCTTCCTTCATGTGCAACACAATAAGGTGTCACCTTCAATCTCTTACTCCTATTTGAGGCACCAAATGGTGCCTCCTTCATGAGTGACACAATAATACGTTTGATGCAAAAACAAAAATAAATAATTCTTATACCACTTACAAAAGTACTCCTCAAATATTTGGAGTTTGAATATCCTTTCGTGTCCAACAAGAAATAAAATGTAGCATACTTTAGCCTTTTCTTCAGAAATTTTCAGATTTAAAGATCCCTTGGTTCTATGGAAAAAGGGAAAAATAATTTTACGTAAGAGTATAATAGTTTGGGAGAGAAAATGTGACTTTAGAGGTTTTTGGAGACTTTGTTTTTCAAATGAAAGATGATAATTTAGTTCAACTGTATTTTGTACAAAAATGGAGTTGTGAAATTGTTTTTCGAACACAAAACAGTGATCTCAATTACAGTAACCAAATGGGAGTAAAAACAAATGGTGAGTAGGATATTAATTTTGTGCATAATGGTGGAGTTATAATAGTGTAGGTTACTTTCTAATGAAAAGGCAAGAGTTTCATGGCAATTGGAATTAATCATCATGTTAATGGAATTTAAAAAAAAAAAAAATCAATTATGAAGTAAACACGTTATTGACTATGGAATTCAAATGAAATATTTTCTTATTATTATTTTATTACTTTTATATTAATAAAATATAAATTTTAGATTACTTTTCTTTCTAATGAGATAACTTGGATATAAATTGTACAAAATCATTGTTTCTTGAGCCCAAATTATTTTATTTAATATGAGCTACAAAATGAGTATAATATTCGATATACTTTATCAACATTTAAAATACTTAAATATTCATCACAAATAGTTTATATTAAATTCTATAAGTACTCGTAGGCAAGGTAAATCTTTTATGCAAATAAGCGGATCGAGTTACCACTTCAACCTTCAGACTATTAACGTGACGACAAATCTAAAAATGGACTATTTTATTTACTAAATGATCAATATTAAATTTAGGGTGACGATATAATAAATATAATTCAAATTATTTTCGAGTCCTACTAGAAAATTTTATTTTAAAACGAACCAAGATTTTTTTTATTTCTCGGTCGCTACAACTCGCCCCACTTAAAAAATAATTTTGTCCTCGAAGTCCAACTTGTTTAGAGAGATCGGGATACTTGGCTAAAATGTCTTCTTCCCTTTCCCAAGTTGTTCATCCTTATTATGTTTATCTCAATGGATTTTGACTAATGGAACCCTTCGATTCCTCAGAACACGGTCATTTCTCTCCAAAATCACTGTAGGAGCTTCTTCATATGTCATATCACTTTGGACACCCAATGATCAAACATTCACGACATGGTTAGGATCTGAAATATACTTTCTCAACATAAAAACGTGAAATACGTTGTGCACTGCTGATAGTTCAGGTGGCAATGCTAGACGATATGCCACATTTCCAATTTTTTCAAGAATTTCAAATGGACCAATAAATCTTGGACTTAATTTTTCTCTCTTTCCAAATCATAGTATTCCTTTCATTGGTGCCACTTTGATAAAGCTCTCCAACGTCGAAAGTTAATTCTTTTCTCCTTTTGTCAGCCTCTTTTGACAATCTTGGGTGGTCTTAATTCTTGATCTAATTTTATGTATGGTCCACAATTGTTTCGACCAATTCTGGACCTAAAACTTTCCTTACACCAACTTCGTCCCAATATAATGGTGAACGACATCATCGACCATACAAAGCCTCATATGATGCCATGTCAATAGTAGCTTGGAAGCTATTGTTGTAAGCATTTCAACTAATGGCAAATGATCTTCCCACTTACAACCCAAATCGAGGACACAAGCTCTCAACATATCTTCGAGAACTTGGATAGTTCGTTCAAATTGTCCATCAGTCTGAGGATGGTATGCAGTACTAAATGTTAACTTAGTACCCATAGCTTTCTAAAGGCTTATCCAAAACTTTGAAGTAAACCTTGGGTCTATGTCAGATATGATAGAAACTGGAACACCATGAAGTCGTATAATCTCTCTGATATAAATCTGTGCGAATTGTTCTAAGTCTAGGTTGTTCGAACTGGCAAAAAATGAGCAGATTTTGTCGGTTGATCTACAATCATCCAAATTGCATTATGACCTCTCATTGATCTAGACAAACCAGTGACAAAATCCATTGCAATCTTCTCCCACTTCCATTCAAGTATGTCCATAGGGTTCAACGCTCTAACGACCTCTGTGTTCAACCTTCACTTGTTGACAAACTATACATTTGGACACAAACAAAGCTATATTTCCCTTCATATTTCTCCACCAAAATGTCTCACGCAAATCTTTATACATTTTAGTTCCACCTAGTTGTGCAGTGTAGAGAGTAGAATAAGCTTCAATCAAAATCTCATTCCTCAATACTTTGTCCTTTGGCACGTACAGTCGGCTGTTAAATGTCAAGGCTTTATCTTCGATGATTTCAAAACCTTTCCTCTTCTCAGTTTTCACTTCATCCTTGATCTTTTCCAAAAAAGAATCATCTCTCTAAGTAGCTACTGTTCTGTCTCTGAGTGTCGATTTCATATTAAAACTTGCTAACATTGCCGATGCCCTTATTGGTGGCGATAATACTTCAATTCTCATATTCTTAAAATCTCGGATTAAATGATCCTACCTCCTGCATAGTACTGAAAGCTGTCCCATGTTCTTTCTACTCAACGCATCATCGACTACATTGGCCTTACACGAATGGTACAGGATAGTGCAATCGCAATCCTTCACCAATTCCAACCATCGTCGCTGTCTCAAATTTAACTCTTTCTGGGTGAAGAAGTATTTGAGACTCTTTTGATTGGTATAAATCTCACACTTGCTCTCATATAGGTAGTTGCACCAAATTTTCAAGGCGTGCACTACCGCTGCAAGTTCGAGATCATGTGTAGGGTAATTTTGTTCATATTGCTTCAATTGTCTCCAAGCATAAGCGATCACTTTCCCATGTTGAATCAAAATTCATCCTAAACCAAGCTTGGATGGATCACTGCGAATAGCAAAACCGTCCAAACTGTTAGGAATAGTCAACACTAGCACAGATATGAGCTTGTCCTTTAGCTCCTGGAAACTCTGCTCACATTTCTCTAACCATACAAACTTAGTACCCTTTCAAGTCAATTGTGTCATAAGACTTGCTATCTTGGAAAATCCTTCTATAAATCATCGATAATAATCGTCTCAACCTAGAAAACTCCACACTTCTCCAACATTTGTTGGTTCCGGCCAATTGGTCATAGCCTCAACTTTGGATTGATCCATTTCAATTCCTCGTGCTGAACAGTGTGGCCTAGAAATTCGACTCAATCTATCCAAAATTCACATTTCTTGAATTTGGCATATAACTTTTCCTCACGCAGTGTTTCTAAAACAATCCTCAGATATTCTTCTTGTTGATGAGAATCTGTCGAGTATATCAATATGTGATAATAAATACGATGACAAACATGTCTAAGTATTGATAGAACACTCTATTCATCAAGTCCATAAACACTATAGGGGCATTCACCAAGCCAAAGGGCATCACCGTAAACTCATAATGCCCATATCGGGTCCTAAACGTTGTCTTTGGTATGTCAACTGAGTTAATCTTCAACTGATGATAGCCTGACCTTAAATTAATTTTTGAAAACACGGATGCTCCCTTCAACAGATCAAATAGATCCTCAATCCTAAGAAGGGAATACTTATTCTTAATCATCAACTTATTTAGTTCATGGCAGTTGATGAGTACCATCTTTCTTTTTTAAAAAGGGTACTGGAGCTCCCATTGGAGATACACTCGGTTTAATGAACCCTTTGTCTAGAAATTCTCCTAACTGCATCTTCAACTCTTGTAATTCCTTTGGTGACATTCGATATGGAGCTTTGGACACAGGAGTAGCTCTAGGTATCAAATCTATCATAAGCTCTACTTGTCTATTGATGAAATATCCGGTAGGTCATCGAAAAACACGTCAGAATACCTCCGTACTATTGGCACATCATCTAATACTTTCTCTTGAGTGGAGGTGCTAGTAAGACTGACAAGATATCCTTAGCAGTTAGCCTTTCTTAACATGTTCTCTATTTTTAAAGCTGAGATAACGTGAGGAAGTGCCTTAATCCTCGATCCATAAAATCTGAACTCCTCTTCTCTCGGTCTTCGAAAAATTACCTCTTTCTCAAAACATACTATCATGGCTCGATTTCCACCCAACCAATCCATACCTAAATTAATATCAAAATCTTTCATCTCTATAATGTACAAGTCGGCCTCTAAATTCAGTCCATCAAAATTTATCTGTAACTCCCTTTGCTATCCTATCAGTATCAATAGTTCCACCTGATGGCATACTCACCTCTAGTACACTATCATTCCATTGACATGAAGTACTAACCTTAGCTAAACATGCATTAGATATGAATAAATGTGTCGCACCAAAATCAATCAGGACGTAAACAGGAATATTATAGACAGATAAAATATCTGCAATCACGTCTGAATTTTCGGCAACCTCATCATGAGTCAAAGCAAACACCCTTGCTTTTTCTTTCTTCTCTTGTTCGGGTTTTTTAATTAATGCGCACGAAGAAGCCACATGGCCAAGTTGACCACACATATAGTAGACATACTTTCCGTACAAACATTCTCCTTTGTAAAACTTGTTGCACTTAGGACATTGAGATAAAGGATTCTTCCCTGACCCACATGCATCTACTTCTTAAACTGTCCCTTATTCCTATTCTTGTCCTGCCACTTCCTTTTCTCGAAGTCTTTACGCTACCCATGATTTATGAATTTTACCCTTGAATAGGTTACTATTTGAGCTTTCTTTACCATCGCTTGAAAAGTGGTGAAATCATGTGAACTCACAATCTGCCTAATCTCTGGGCACAGGCCCCTCTAATGATGTTTTACCTTCATGAGCTCAGTACTTACAAGATGTGGGGCATATCGAGACAATTCCTCGAATTCGCTCTCATACTCAGAAAGTTCCATATCTCCTTGTACCAATCTTGAGAATTCTGTCTCCTTGTGGTCTCTCATAGATTGTGTAAAAAACCTTTCTATTAGCTCCATCTTGAACTGATCCCAAGTTAGGTTACATTGTTCCTCCTTGATGTGAGTACGTGAGGCGGATCCCCACCAATTGCCTACTCTTCCGATTAGCATAAACTCTACACATAATTCCTTTTGATTTTCTGGACAAGAGATGTGCCGGAAGATCTTCTTAATAGTACGTAACCACTTGTCAACTGCCAGTGGATCCTTCCCACCATCAAAGATAGGAGGTCGATATCTAAGAAATTGTTCCACCATCGGAACAGGTGGTGCCATCGAGTATATTGGTGGCATTGATGGTACTTGGGGGACTACTGAAGCTTGAAGAGCTGAAGGTGTGGCCTTAGCGACCAAGGCTTGTTTCAACTCATCAATCTCTCGGCTTAACTCCCTAATTGTCCTCACTCGTGCCATATTCCTATATATCAAAATAATTGCAATCTCATTTAGATGATTCAACAATATTTGCACAGCATAGAAAAAAAAAAGATTTATAGCTGAACATCTTTTATTATTATCTCATAAGAATCCTTCAGGAGGAACACACAATATTAAAAGAGCGTTTGGCACTAGTCCACCGAATCATAAAAGAACTCCTACTAAACTTCAATAACAATTGAACCAGTTAAAAACTACTAAAATCCACTACTTTATTCATTATTGCCATCATCATCATCAATCCAACCTCCATGAATAATAGGTTTCTTAGAAAATAAGCCTCATCATCCGAAAATAGGTGGAGGTGTATCTTCACGAATGTGCATCTCGATAGGTACACTATCGTCCTCGGGGATTACAAGTCGGGCCAGCTCCCATCGCTCAATTAGCTTTGCATAGAGGGCCTCATAATCAATCTCTCGATGTAAGGTAGGTACAACAACCTCCCACAAATAATTATAAATATATTTCGCCACCTCTAGCCACTCTTCTAGTAAGGTCTCAATAAGAATGCAAGCAGCTCGATGACCAGTGACCATATGCCTTGGCTGTCTCACCTCCCTCCATCTTACTAACATCTCCCAAATGTGTTGGCCCATGTTGTGCATTGGATTCCACCGATACTCTCTATATTGGCTCATGATCTCGTATCGACGAGGCATCAATGAACTTGTCTTCCTATAAGTTTTCTTAATCCGTACCATCGGAGCCATACCAATTATTCAAAATCCAATAAGTGGGCGTCTAATAAGTCCTAGTTAATTCCCAAGAACTTAAACAAACATTTGATCTCATCACGTTCTCAAAACACTTGGTGCAAAATGATTATCCACAAAAGCATTCAAACTCCAAGATATGCTGATATACATATATATTTCAAATATTGTGTCTCAAATAAACTTTCTCATACATAAACATAAGTACAATCGTAGCTTACCTAAAACTCGACATAGCACAGCTTTAGCAGGCATAGTGCTCAGGATCCTCATTAAAATTTTGATCAATGTTATATTTATGACACAACATCAAAGAATAGTTTTTAATGCAAGTCTATAGGAAACAAAACCATGCTCTGATACCAAATTGTAACGCCACGAATTTTTGGAACCCGAAGCATTAAAAACAATCGATCTTTCTTTGGTTCGACAAGTTTTTTGTTTTTTTTTTCTTTTTTTGAAACATATAAAAATGTAATGGGAGGTAGTTATTCATTATACTTGGGCAATTATGGCAAAATTTGATTTTTTTTAAAAGTGTTGGAGGCAATTCATAAAATATGGGTTGAACAACATCGGAAGGAAAATATGTTTGGTCTAGTCAATGTCTACTAAAAATTATGAAATTTTTACTGCCGCTAAAGTAGTCATATATATACCACATATAAAAATTTGGGGTCTCGACGATAACGTTTGAAACA